TTTTGTCTCTCATAGTTGAGGTCTACCTATGATGTCAATTAAAGGCCTCTCTCATCTTTTTAAGTGGGAGAACTTGCACAATTGGTGACTGACTACTTATTTTCCCCACTGTACTTGCACAGTTTGGTTGTCTCCAGTACTGTATTTCTTAGTTCTAGATTGTGTTATTGTTCAAATATATATATATTTCATTAAAAAAAGCTTTACTTACACTGTAAGTAACAGTGAAGCCAGCTTAAACAGGTATCGTGGCAACAGCATCTCTACCTACGACGCTGCGTGATGTGAAAACTAGATATTAAATAATAACATTTAATTAGGTCATTTTCTTTAATAACATAGCTATAGAGTGGTCAGACATGATAACAACAACTCTGGCACGCCTTCGGTTGAGAAAATGGCAGAGTAAAAAAAATAAAAATAAAAAGGATAATGTGCCAACTTACCGTCCGGCACTGAGGACACTGATAACCGTAGTCTCCGCCATTTTCATCCCAATGCATACAGATGCAAAACCGACAGAAATTGTGGCCGCATTTGAGTATGACTGGGTCTTTGAAGCACTCCAAACATATCGCACAAGTCAGCTCTTTCTTCAATTCGTTTCCAGCTGCTGCGGCTGTCGCCATGTTTTGTAGTCAACACTCTCGTCAACGCTGCAGCCCAAGCCGGAAGTGACGAGAGAAGTTGGAGGAGARGAGAGAGCGCGCGCATTTGGGCTGCGTCATCGTCCGTCGGAACCAATCAGATTTTACGCTCGGACTTCCCATGAAAAAAACATTAATAATCCCATATTTGTGATATTTGACTGATCAATAAAACATATTTGATTTTACACAGCTAATTAGATATGAATGTTTAATCTCAAAMCTTTAACATGATTAGACAATTAAATAAAAACAGTATCTACATTAAATTACTGACGTTGTTGAACAACTTTGGATATTTGATGAGGATTTGTCATTTTACTTGTRTAAAGTTTACAGAACATTACACTTTTGTACGGTGGCCTAAGATCCTGTGATGCAGAAATGTTGGTTCATGCCTCTGTATTGGCTGCTTAACTTTACAGTTTTATTAAAAATGTTACAAATGATAGAACCCATAATGCATCCACAACTACATCGCTTCATATCACCAATCTCTACCCCTATTCTCCCAGAAAAAAAACTTWATTGTTGTCCTGACAATCAGTATTCACACAGGCTGATGAGATCTGGTAACCAGCTCCACGGTTCAGTCACCATCTCTAAGATTAATCCTAAAATGTAATCTTTATTGTTTTTATTCATGTTTTGCAAATTATGTGCATTCATTTAATGTATGAATTTGACTCAAACGTACAACTCAGTTCAACGACAACAACTTGCCAGCAGGCACCAGTAAACAATATTTATTTTAATTACATATACTTAAAAAACAATTCATAAAAAGACGAGGTGAATACCACAATTGTGCTGAAACTGTTGTGAACATGTGTGTGTGTGTGTTGGGGAGGGGTGACTGGTTGTGGTATATAATGTACATCACATTGCATAGCTTGTGTTGACGTGTGAAGGATGTTATGCAAAAAAAAGTGCACATGATGTCAGTTATGGTGTCACTTCCAAACTTAAGGCAAAAAAAAAAGAAAAKAAAAAATCAGCTGGATTTAAAATCTTCACATTTCTCAGTGATTCACACCTCAGTAACCTATGTTCATCACCACGCCTGCAAACCCTGGTAAAAATCAGAAATAAACCATACAGTGATTATTAACAGCACCATAATAAGACAAACATTTAAGGACATTAAYCTCAGCATGTCGTGTGCTCACAGCAAGGTGACACACAGGTTTAACAATAAACATGAACATATTTTTCACCAATGATACAAACAGATTTAGGAGATTATGAATGAGGTGTTTCTGATGGAGATCTATAAGCAGCTTTTTATTTGCATCACTTGTCAGAAAAACCCCCCAAATCAGAACACTTAAATGCTGCACATCACTTTAAAGTTTAGACAAACCTAATGTGAAAGAAAATAAATCTGTGAGAAATATTTGTATGGTCACGGCATCAAAACCTTACAGTGTAACATAAACATAAAAAGCAGCTTTGTAGAGCGTCTCCTCAGTCAGAAATGTCACAAAACGAAGCAAAAAATACAAAAGAGAACTCCTGARATGAGTGCCTTTTGACATACATGCCTCAACTTATGTTAAAAAAGTGTCTATTTTGAATAAATAAGACATTTCCACAGTGGATCAACAACAGTGTATAGTACAAAGACATGAAACACTTTAAACCCGTCACAGAGTTTACAAGTTGTCTGAATAAAACACAATATAAAAAAATGGACAATAAGCATTTTCAAAACTTTCCTTATCACGTGATATCTCAACATTTGAAACTGATTTCGGACTTATTAAGACTGAAGCAGTTTCCTAAAAATGACCAATTGTGTAGTGTGGCTAACCATGACTGATGCTATTGTGATTTGTTTACATTTTATGTCATGCATTGTCCTAACAAGTGCAATGTTTTATTTTGTGCTGATATTAGGTTTTAAACAGTTTTTTCATTGTTATGTTGCTAAAGGCCTAAATGAGACATGCGTTGCAAATTAGCTTAGATTATAAATGCCATAGTATGATATTTGTTCATACTTACTTGGATTTCAGCACTTTTATTGTGCTATTCTTGAAAACTTTAGAGTGTATGTGCAACATAACATTGGGGTGATTCTTTTTTTTCAGTACAACTGTTGCTTTAGGTGGGAACATCATTTTGTTTATTTTGCTGGTGTTCCACCAGCAGCACTAAATTTTTAACTTGGTCGGCAGGACGGATATGAAAAGTATTCCCCAGGTGCCTAGGACTGWCCTAAAGGATTAGAGTTTCTTCAGGCACTTTAACTTCATAAAACCAGAGGAAGAGACAGGAAATACTGCAGTGATGAATTAAACAGTAAACATGAGTGATAAGCTGTTTGATCATGGATGATTTCAATATAGCCTCCCCCATTAACAGGCACACTTATGAACACGTTTGATCATTTAGATTTTTGGCATTATGGGATTAATACCAATTAAAAATAAATAAAAATATATAAAACCCCCATAATAATCCCCATATTAATCTGTCCATCCGTGCCTTCACTGCTCAGACCTCTGAGCTGTTGTGGCAGTCTTGCATCCTCACCACAAGCATGGGCTCAGTACTGATGGATCCTTTCACCACCTCCTGTACCCCCTCTCTCCATCCTTCCTTCCCATCCTTCTGTCTGGATCTCAGCACTAGCGTGATGGCGATGATGACAAGCACGGTGAGCAGCAGCCCCACCAGCGCCCCCACCACGCTCACCAGACCCTCCTCGTCCTCGACTGCATTCAGCTCACCGGGTTCTCCCCGGCCATCGAAGAGCTCATTGGACCCCCCAGACCTCCGTTTGGTGCGGTCCAAGGCAATATGCATAATGTTGGTACCGCGGTTGCCGTCTACTCCAATGTCTTCGGCAATTTCTGGGCTTTCATTACCAGCAGACCTCCTCCCGCGGTAGCCCAAAGCAAACCCATCGCTTGCYGAAACAAAGGAGTGAGACTCCAGGCTGCGTTTTCCGATGCCTCTGTTAGCGTTCTCTTTGGAGCGAACTGTGTAAATGGTGTGTATGAACCATTCACGGCCTGCAGCAACCTGAAGAGAAGAGCAACAACAACAAAAAGAGAAAATGCATTATCTATGAAAATTTAAAAAATAAACTTTGGGGTTGGGAAAACTTTAAACGAGTTCAAACGTTTGAAGAAGGATTCTCTGGAAAGGTTAAGAACCACAATTTATTATCCTTTGTATAGATAGGTTTTGGAGAAATTAAAGTGCAATTCTGTCCAGGTTAATACACAAAAAGTAGCTCACAACTGTGGCTGATCGGTCAGGAAAAGAAACATGAAGTAGTAGGATACCTGGAACATAGCTGTAGAGTCCAGTCTAAATCCATCAGACCCTGGTTGTCTGACTAGAGACACAGCTGATGGATCATCTACTGCAAGCACAGCATTGAAACTGACATCACCAAACACACGAGCCTGAGTCTCTGGCTGAGCCTTGTCCTGATGACGTAAAGGAAGGTGATTAAYGCAATCCCTTGTTAGTCATTGAAGTGAAAATCCTCAGGATACTCACAAGAATCTTAAATCTGTAAAGCAGTGATGGGGAGTCAGCCAAGCAGCCGAATTCAAACTTGGTCGGGTTATATTTTGGTATGTATCCATCAGCACCAGTGCAGAGAAACACCTTCTCTATGTTGCAGAAGAAAGAATCCCCCAGGTTTTGCACCGGATCCACCATAACACGACCATATATGGTATCTCCTAAAACAGGTAGAAAGTGGGTGAATCTAAAATACTRAAATTTTGAATGAACTAAAAATCTATATACTTCAAAAAATGCCATCTTATTCTTTCAGTGCCTTCCAGCTTAAACCTTAACAGCATAAATCTATGTAATGCATGTACATTTCTACCTTCAGAAAAGGCTATGTCACTCTCTTGACCAAAACCCTTCGATCCATCAGAAAGCCACTGGTTCTTTTTGGACAGCAACARCATCTGAGTGTTCAAACTGAACTCCACTGCAACTGGGTCACTCACCTGAAAAAGGATGCAGCTGAGTAAGCTGAGTAAATGCAGCTAATAAGGAAAAACAAGGAAAAAAAATCCAATATCCATAAGATTTAATTTCTTACTTGCTGGAATCGAATGTTGAGGTCAAAAGTGACAGGTTCTCCTGGACTGCAGTTAGGTGGGACAGTGTATTCTATGTTCTGAACGGTTGTACAGGGGACCAGCTTTATCGTGTAAGTCCCAGAATAATCTCGTACCTGTGATGGGGAGAAATGGAAAAGCTTCAGATTGTATCGGTCCACTCCCCTTGTGTTGACTTCAGGTTGTAGATYGTTACAGAATAGGAGAAAATATTATGGTCCTACTGCAAAATCAGAAATGAAGGTCCACTGTTGGACAGGTTGGTTGTAGGTGGGCTCACTCCTCACTAGGGTGAGGTTAAATGTAAGGCCGGGGTGATCCACACTTATCACCATGGATGACATGGAGGTTTCTGGAAAACGTTGAGAGGTTTGTTAAAAAAGAAATAGATGAATAGAAAAGTGGATAGTCCAGTTATATCAGTTTTGTCAGCTTTGTTAATTCTACCTGAAGAATGAGACTCCACAAACAGACCCCTGAAATGAGCCCTGGTGCGGAAGTTTACCACCAAACGTCCCTGCTCATTGATGCGCATGCTGGTGGGATACAACGAACCTGGACAAAACAACGCACAAAATTTAAGAAAAAACTAAAGCTACTTTCAAACACAACTTTCTGTTAAAATGGGCTTACCCTGTAGCTCTGCCTGAGGGGGACTGCCAATGCCCTCCTTCCAGAGAATGGCTGTGTCGTACACAAAAGTGAGGCGGAGCTCCGACTGAAGATCAAAGTGCTGCCAGCCGCCGGCGCCCATGGGGGAGTGGAACACGTACGACACATAAAGAGGCACACGCAGGGTCACGTAGGACTGGACCAGGTTCAGCACCTGTAAAGAGGTTTCAACTGGCAGTTAGTGAAGAAGTGATGTTGCTTCAAATCAATCAATCAATCAATCAATCAATCAATCAATCAATCAATCAATCAATCAATCAATCAATCAATCA